ATTAATAACTACTCCTGTTTCAGATTATGTACTCGTGAGTCTCCTCTCATTATTTCTGTGTCTCAGGCACATACGTTCTCGCTCGCCCCACTCCTCACAGCGTTACAACTACTGAGAATTGCCCATTTTTTGTTAAACAACATGTTTCGACTGTAGTCAATCATCATCAGGTCTGTAAATCATATAAAATCACGCATACAAACAAAACTGCTTACACTTGAAAAGACACTTAGTGTCAAACACGTTTCGATCTCAAGGGGTTATCATCAGTGACAGACAAATTAATTCATGTTAAATCATACAATTCATAGGACGATGGTTATAAAACATAAAAGGTTTCACTTTACAAAGCCACACTTATGTAACACCATACTGGACTTTGATTGCACAAGAGTTGGTGTATTATCTAAACCAGAGGTTCCCAAACTTTTATACCTTGCGCCCCCCTTAAAACATTTCATAAATTTCACCCCCCCCTTCCAGAACAAGTGCAAGCAAACAGATTTGACATAAAATTTAGCTATTAGTATACATTTTTTATAATTTAGTATATATTATTCAATGCATTTAATTTTTAAAAAAGTATAATAAAATATACGCTTCATACCTGGATTGGTGGGATGGATGTGGTTGCTTCTGTGAACATAACTTATCATACCGAGGTTGGGGTTTTGAAATGACCGCTCTAAGGTCGTTTTCCAGGTTCACCGTAGAACGATACTTTGTTTTGATGGCTGCCACTGCTGAACTACCTCAGTCAGGCGAAGAATGTTAAAAATGTTTCTCCGTATTTCGTTAAAAAGGTTTTTCATACAAAAAACACCCCCCCCCCCAGAAAACCACTCGCCCCCCCTGGGGGGCGCCCCACACTTTGGGAACCTCTGATCTAAACTGAGTACTTAGCTTCATGTCCACTGGCTTGATATCCTTTGTGGTTTTGTAAAGTGCAACCTTTTATGCTTTATGGAATAAAAACTCATGATGTGATTAAATAAAGTAAGACTCCAGCCGCTAATTAATTCCCCGTCAAAAATTGAAACAATCCTGAAGCAACAGTTAAATTAGGTTGAAGTGCGTTAGTGACGTGAGCTAACACTTAAATAGAATTTTTATCATGAAAGAAGACACAACACTAGTAACTAACAAACAAACGCCAATCAAATTGAGGAAGAAAATTAATAAATGTCTCCAAGGCGGAAATCTAAAGTAAAGAAAACACAAACACT